TGTACATTGCGTGCCAGAACGGCCACGTCGAGTGCGCCCAGCTGCTCCTCGAGGCCTGCGCGGCGGTCGGCCAAGCCACGGACAACGACGCTACACCGCTCTACATCGCGTGCCAGAAGGGCCACCTCGACATCGTTCGGCTGCTCCTCGAGACCGGCGCTTCCGTCAACCAAGCCCGCAACAACGGCGTCACGCCGCTGCTCGCCGCGTGCCACAACGGCCACCTCGAGATCGCCAAGCTCCTCTCCTCCTACGGCGCCTCGCGTGCCGCAGTGCCGCCCTTTGGCACACCCGAGGAGGTCGCGAACCGCGACGGCCACGCCGACCTCGCCGCCTGGCTGGTCGCCAGCCGCGGCTGGACGCCGCTCGCGCACCTTGAGACCCTCACCGCCGCCCGCGCTCTCTCCCTGCTGCGCAGCGGCGCAAGCCTGCACGAGGGCGCGCCGACGCCGCTGCAGCGCGCCGCGGGCGGCGAGGGCGAGGCGGCGGCGCTGATCCGGCGGGCGGCGGCGCCGTGGTCGCCGGCAAGCCACTCGCTCTTCCCCGCGGCGGCGCGCGCGCGGGCGGCGCTCCTCGTCCTCTCGCTCTACCAGATCCACGAGCGGCACCATCTCGACTCGGCAGGAAACACGAACGGCATCGCGGCGCGCGACTTTGTCACGTGCGTGCTGCGCTTCGCGGTCACGCGCGAGACGGAGTAGCGGAGCACTGCAGTGGCCCTCTCACCTTGGAACCGCCGCGGCGGTGCCTCGCAGATGACACCCAGGCACTACTCAAAGACTACGCCCAAATTGACAAACTGTGGATAATACTGCAGATTTACGAAGAAGCCACAGGGATGAGAGCTATCAGCTAACCCCAACAAGTTCGAAGGGATACGACTGGGACCACTGAAGCACCAACCGCCGCCGACACTAAACGGGAGGAGCAGACTCATCAAATGGCTCGAGAGAGGGAGCTACACTAAAATACTAGGAATGCCATACGGCTCTACTACCTCGATGGTGCTTGCACTTTGAATGCCGTGGGGCTCCTGCCCGTGTCCGGGTGTCGTGGAGATGCGAGGGTCGCCCCCCCTTGCCCCACCACTTTGTGTGTGTGGAGAAATCTACCTTACCTTACCTTACCTTAGACCCAAGAAGAGTCCAATAAATTCTGGGAAGAACTCTACACCAAGGTCTCGATGGCGAACCTAAGAGGACACTCAAAGACATGAAGATCACAGGAAGAGCGCTCGTCGCCAATTTTAAAATCTTCTCTCGTCCCAGATACTGGGCTTTCACGATGGACCCCCCCGAGTGGGCGAGTAGTTCAACGAACAGCTCATCACGGACGTAAACCACCTCATGTGGAGGAGGAAAACGCTTCTCTGAGCGAGGTTTGGTGCTCTCAGGAGCGCTCTGCCAACGCGTGGTCGGCAGGGGCCGGCGGGGCAGGCCCGCGGCGAGCGCTTCGCCTGCGGCGCGCGTCTCTGGCCACCAGGGAGGGTCTGGAGGGCGATTTTTGGGTCGATTTTTGGGAAGTGATGCCAATCGAGAGATCTCGCCGAGCCCTTTTCGGTTGTGTGCTTGCGAGCTTTTTTTTCGCACGGGAAGCATTTTTCAACGTGAATTGTTCGACTAGGCTGGTTGCACCAATATATCGCTCGACAGGTGGTCTTGGCTTCACGCCCAGCAATGGCTCTTATCGCGCTGCTGCTGCTCCTCTCGACTGCCTGCAGTCACGCTCTGCGGGCTGGCGTCCCGCGCATGACTGCGCCGGCCGCCGCGGCTTCGTCGACACTGCGGCCGGACCTTGCCGCCGCTCTCGGCACGGAACCGGAGAGCGGCATGGCTGACGAGGCGGCGATGCTCGCGAGCTCCACCTTCCCGATACCGCCGGACGAGCTGGTCAGCCTCGCAAAGGCGTTCACCGCGGCTCAGCTCGCAGGCACCGCCGACGGGAGCGGTGGCAACCCGGACTGGTTCGCCGAGGACTTCCGCTTCGTCGCACCCGTGGTCGGCCCGTACGACAAGGGCCTCTTCATCGACTCGCTCAAATCGTTCGACCTCAAGACCGCGTTCCCGAGCCTGAGCTCCAACTACCACCACTTCCGCGTCTGCCCGTTCAAGCCGAACCGCGTGTGGTACTCGGTGAAGTACCTCGGGAAGAATGATGGCCCCGTGCTGGGGCGGCCGGCGACCGGCAAGTCGGTCGAGTCTCCGGTTCAGGCGCACAGCATTACATTCAATGAGCAAGGCGAGGTGACCAAGTTCACGATCGGTTACGTGATGGACAAGGAGGAGGGCAACACGGGCGGGCTCGGCGGGGTGTTTGGCCTGTTTTGGGCGATCGGGTACG